ATATTCATAACAACTAGTTAAGTCACTACCATTTGCATCATTTTTAATTGCCATTTGCCTCTTTCACTACTAGATTGTAAGCTCCATATGAGCAAGTGCTGGCTGACTATCCCAAAAAAAGAAAGTTCATTAGAGAATTCCAAAAGCCTGGCAAAAACTCCTCCACTGTTTTTCAGGTAGGATTCAAACTACCCATTATCCTCTAAGCAAAGATGCTTCTTCTTGATTTACAGACAGATTATTCTAATTCTACTTATATCCAGAACTGAACAACATTTGTCCCTTCCATTGACAAGGCCCTTGAAATTTTCAGAATAGAACTCTTATAATGAAACCAGCTCTGGAAGGCTTTTTGGCAATTAGTGAGCAAATACTGACGTCAGCAGGATGATTCTCATCAAGCTTCTTGACAAGTTGGGTTACATATGCCATTTTTGATCATTTGAGCTACTTAGTTTAAACTTTTCACGATGGTAGTGTGGTAATGGGTGGGGCAAGCCACAGGCACCAAGTAGTTAATTATGTTTTCATTACTAATTGCATGCTGTATTGTACTATCTTCTCATAGTGGAAATAACATGTAGCCATTTGAGAGTTTTCCCAATTTCCCTTTCAGTTTTCCAAAGTCAATGGCCCTTGGAAAAGGGACCAAACTGGGTAAAGAGAGCAAACTACCTCTATTATCCCCATTCTCTAGCAATTATAAGGAAATTGTTCCCAGAATCTATGAGTTTTCTTCTTTATACTTTGGTCTCATTTATAAACCTAGCTTTCTTCAGTTCTTATTTCTCCAAATTGCCTAACTTAAACCTGGAGGACAAGGAATGCCAGCTCTCTGAGTAACTCCTTCAGCAATGTCCCTCCTCACGCATTTCTATCAGGCTTGAGGCCCTCTTTCCGTTTTCTCTCGTCTTTCAAATAGAACTACTGAAGCTATGACACCAGAGAAGATTTGTTGATAGAGCAACAGTCTAGTGGACACAGTTAACTAAAATATCACGGGAAAGGAACAGCAGAGTCCATGTCTAGAAAAAGCTACTTTCCTGAAAGGCCTAATCATACAAAGATGAAAATTATTATGATGTTGTAAAGAGCTAACTTCAAACCTGGAGTCCCATAAAGCCAGGGAGCCAAGTCCCAAATCTCCCATCTTACAGATATTTACAAGGAAGCAATTTCAGCTCTATGTGATGGGAGACCCCATATAGGCAGTGGAGGAGGCTTTTGTTATGGAAATGTTGCATTATTTAAGCAGTGTTCTTTGACATCCCCCTGCCCCAGCCATGATGTTCTCCCAGTCTCACCGACAGATGTCCACCAGCTGGTCCAGCTCAGGGCAGCTGCACTCGTACATGTCCCTGCAGCTCAAATGACTCTGATTCATTAACTCCCCCAGCAGCTGGACCATGTTGTCAGGTGCTTCTTCACATATCTTTTTAAACTGGAGCACTCGCGCAGCCTCACTGTACACATGCTTTGCACGCTGGTAGAGTTTGAAGTTGAGCACTTAGGAAGAAAGAGCAACAAGGGTAGAAACAGTTATTGTCTTTATTATAATTACCTGAAACTTTAAATAGGTCTCTCTTACAGTGAAAGAATCCTTTATAATCTAAAAATATCTATTTTCAAGCCAGTTTTACTTTTCTCTTGATACTGAATAAAATCTTGTTACAATATATACCTTCACTTCACATGCACATACGTGTACAAACTAACACATCCCAAAGGAAGGGAGTGGGAATATTTATGGAGCACTCCCCACATGCCAGGCATGTTAAAGGCACTACCTCACGACGTTTTCCTCACAGTACTGTAGGCCTGGTCGTGTGATCCCTGCTTAACGGATGGGTGAATGCAGCTCAGAAGTGAAGGAATGACTACGGTCACACATTCCAAGAGTGGCCCACATGGAGCAGATCAGGGATGGCTGAGCCCAGACCTATGTCCTTTCTACTGTGCCTCACAGGAAAGGGCCACTAGAGATGCTTGTGTTGGTAATTCCTTTTATAAAAATATATCCCAAAGAAACAGAACCACTGTGGTACATGCATATATATTTATATTATATATGTATGTTTATTTATAATTTATAATAGCAGAAAATGAGAAACAACTTAAGTGTCTAGTAATGGGGATTTCTTTTCAACTATGCTTTATTCATTAAAATAATATTTGCTATTAAAACTAAGATCATAAGACAATTTAAGATGAGGGAAACTGTGATATAATTATTAAGTGACTAGACATAAAACTATATGTATAATATGATACTAATTATGCATACATATTTACATATATTTATGTATATTTTCATAGAAAAACAACTGATAAGAAAGCTCTAAAACGTTAATAGTAGTTATCTCCATGGTAACAAAGATTTTATTTTCATCTTGACATGCTTTTATAATTTCTACATTATTCACAATGACTCTGTAACTTCAATTAGAGAAGCAGGCTGCAACAGCTCCACCTATAATGCTTACACATTCCCCTGAATAACAATTGAGACGTCACTACTTTCACCCATGCTGAACAGTGACTGAGCTGGCATGGTGGGTCTGGGAAAATTCTGGAAAATTTTTGGAAGCCACCTGGCCTAATGAAAAGCACCAAGGTTGGGAATCAAAAGAACTGACATTTGTTCTCAGCTCTGGAACTAGCTGTACCCATGCTGCTACCTTCGTAGGGCTCCATTTCCTCATCTCTAAAATGAGCTTAAGAATTACCTCTCAGGATTCTCTCAGCTCTAACATTTTATGATGCCATGAAGAACTTCCTTCAACTCTCTCCTCAAAGTGTTATGCTTTGTAAAGAGGAAGCTACCTGTGACTACTGCCTCTGTTTGCAGCCCCTCAGGTCTACTTTCTGCCCTTCTCCACCTGACCTCTACAGGCTACGACAACAGGTTCCCTTGCACTCTAGATTGCAAAAAGGGAGAAGTTCAGCACGAGGTGCGGGTAGGGGAGAGAATGAAGTCAGGGGGTTTATTTCCCAGTTCCCTTCTTGCAATGCCATATGGGCTGCCTGTATCCTCTACTGAAGGGCATTGAGCATCTTCTTAAACTAGCTTCTCCACATGCCTCTCTTCTCCTGAGTCTACCTCCCTTAAGATATTGCTGCTTTTTCAGAAGTGCTTTCATACTTCCATTTCTGAACCAATAAATTCTATTAAAATGTCAGGTTATATTCTTCCTCCACAGCATGATTCTTGTAATTTTAGGAGATGGATTAAAAAAGCAGTAAGGCTGGAGGAAATTAATAGCCCTTCTTAAGATTTGTATAAAAGCTTAGTAATTATAAGGATGGGACGAGCTTTTCTGTAAATTAATAATGAAGAATTAAGCATTTCCTTTCAAAGGTTCTCAGGTGAGTCATATTAAGTATATTGAACTTATAGCTAACTGACTGCATCAATGAAATGAAAGCAAGTTCACGTGAATTTTCCTGTTCCCTTTCAAAAAGGGCCTACAGTCACCAAATCTACTCAATTCTTCCTTCACAGTGTTATCTTGTAATCATTCTTTCTTTCTGCTCTCACCATTATTACACTTCCATTCCCTTTGCCACCTGAACTATTTTGCAGTGATCTTCTAATTGATATTCCTGTCTTGGGCTCTCCTCCCTGCAATCCACCCTGGGGTCAACACTGCCTGCTGAGCACCTAAAGCTAAGCCTTATTCACATTGCTACCCAAAACACTGAATGTTTCCCTGTTGTTTACAAAATTCCTACACTCACCATCCTCAGTCCCAACAAGAACTCTTCCCATCAGTTAAACCACCCTAGTTGTAGTCAACCAAACACTCCTTGCTTTTGGATGTACTTTTGTCCCACACAAAAATAATAGCTTATGCTTTCCCTGTCAAAATTTTACCTTCTGCTAAAAATTCAGCCTAAATTTTCTAAAGATTCAGCCTACATGAAGCCATGATGGCTCCAGCCAGAACCTGTCTCTTTACTCTGAACTTTAACCACATTTGCTGCCCATGGCACTCATTTGGCCATGTGTTTCTATAGTAATTGTTTCTCTTGTCTACTCAAAGAGTTTACAAACTGCTAACGACAGAAACTGTGCATGCCATCACCATGTTATTAGGTGCTGTCCAGTCGTTTACAACTGATAGCGACCCTATGCACAGCAGAATGAAACACTGCCTGATCCCGTGCCAGCTCCATGATTGCTATTCATAAAGTTGTGCACTAATGTATCAGACAGTGTTGCTCTGCTATTCATAAGGTTTTCCCTGGCCAATTCTTTGAGAAGTGAACAGCCTCTTCCTTCTTCCTAGTCTGTCTCAGTCTGCAAGCCACACTAAAACCTACACACCATGTGCACCCTGCTGAATTTAAAATACCAGTGGCACAGCCTCAAGACTCACATCACCACAGTTGGACAAACTGACAGACAAGTTTGTCTCCCTTAGCTGTTTGAAACTTCTCCAACCTCCCTTACCTGGATCCCAGCTGCTGCCTCCTCGTTCTGTCCCAGACCTGCTGGCCTTTTCCCCGCCTTGCTGCTTGTGGGGCATGGTCTGGGTTCCCTCCCCTCACCTGGATCCCAGTCGCCGACTCCTCCATATGATTATGGAATCTCCACACGTTCCACCACTATAATCTCTTGCTCCATAATGCCTTAAACAGTGTGTTATTGGCAAGAACTCAATAGGTGTTCACTGTTGATGATGATATGATTGAGACTTATTACAAAGCTCAGTTCACAGCCAAAATAACTCCAACGGGCATTTTTTTTTTTTTTAAATTAGGCATCAGAACTTACAATCTGACAAACAGAAAGGGGACAACACGATTCCATTTGCTATTTAACAGTCTCAGCATTTCTCAGGCTGAAAGAACAGAAGAAAAACTTCAAGCCATGAGTTGCAATACTGAATAATTCTAAGGGCAAAATACTGAATATAGGAAGCACCAAAAGAAGATAGAAATAATGCAGAGTCACTGTACCAAAAAGAATTGGTCAACGTTCAGCCATTTCAGGAGGTAGCATATGATCAAGAACCAATGGTACTGAAGGAAGAGGTTCAACCTATACTCAAGTCAATGGCAAAAAACAAGAATTGACAGAATACCAATGGAGATGTTTCAACAAAGGGATACAATACTGGAAGCACTCGTTCTTCTATGCCAAGAAATTTGGAAGACAGCTACCTGGCCAAATAACTAGAAGAGATCCATATTCCCATTCCAACAAAAGGTGATCCTACAGAATGCAGAAATTATTGAACAACATCATTAATATCACATTTGAGTATAATTTTGCTAATGATAATTCAAAAATGGCTTCAGTAGTATATTACAAGGAACTGCCAGAAATTCAAGCTGGATTCAGAAGAGGATGTGGAATGAGGGCTATCATTGCTGATGTTAGACAGATGTTGGCTCAAAGTAGAGAATACCAGAAAGATGTTACCTGTGTTTTATTGACTATGCAGAGGCATTTGACTGTGTGGATCACAACAAAATATGGATAACATTGAAAAGAATGGGAATTCCATAGCCGTTAATTGTGCTTGTGAGGAACCTGTACACAGACTAAGAGGCAGTCATTCGAAAAGAACATGGGGACACTGAGTGGTTTAAAATTAGGAAAGGAGTATGTCAGGTTGTACCTTTTCACCAAACTTATTCAATCTGTATGCTGAGCACATAATTTGAGAAGCTAGACTATATGAAGAAGAATGCAGCATCAGGATTGGAGGAAGACTAATTAACAACCTGCAATATGCAGACAACACAACTTTCCCTGCTGAAAGTGAAGATGACTTGAAGTATTTGTTGAGGAAGATCAGACTACAGCCTTCAGTCTGGATTACATGTCAACATGAAGAAAACAAAAATCCTCACAAATGGACCAATAATCAATGTAATGATAAATGGAGAAAATTTTGAAGTTATCAAGGATTTCATTTTACTTGGATCCACAATCAACACACATGGAAGCAGCAGTCAAGAAATCAAATGACATACTGTATTAGGAAAATCTACTATAAAAAATCTCTTTAAAGTATTAAAAAGCAAAGATGTCACTTTGAAGACTAAGGTACACCTGACCCAAGCCATGGTAATTTTCATCACCTCACATGCATGCAAAAGGTAGACAATTAAAAAGAGAGAGAGAGAGACCAAAGAAGAACTGATGCCTTTGAGTTACGGTGTTGGTAAAGAATATTAAATATACCATACATTTCTATAAGAACAAACAAATCTGTCTCAGAAGAGGTACAGCCAGAACTCTCCTTAGAGACAAGGATGGTGAGACTATCTCGTGTACTTTGGTCATAGTTATCAGGAGGGACCAGTCCCTGGAGAAGGACATCATGTCTGGTAAAGCACAGCAAAAAAAGAAGACTCTCAATGAGATAGACTGACACAGGGACTGCAAAACTAGGCTCAAACAGAGCAACAAGTGTGATGATGGTGCAGGGCCTGACAGTGTTTTGTTCTGTTGTATATGGCGTCACTGTAAGTTGGAACCGACTCAATGGCAT